ATCGGAGTGCTGTTGTTATGGATCGAATGGTAAAAGTGCGTGCTGCTTGGATGAGATGACACAGGAGCTCCTTGAGCTGCGGTCTGACTCTGAAGTGCCATTCCTAGACAACCACCATAAGGATGAGAATTGTTCATGGACATCTGCTCCTCCATGAGCACCAGCTCCTCCACAATGCTGTCCTGGGTAAGGTCATCATCAAATGAGAAGAAGTTTTCGTTCGACTGAGGGACTGTATGTTCAAACTCTTTCAGCTCAGACTGCAGAGGTAACTGATTTGAAGACTGTGCTTGTATTTGATCCAAGGAGGAATCTTGGATCTGGCTCTGTAACTGCTGGTTGTACGCATCCTGCTGTATACCTTCGCAGTGCACTGGCTCCCATGCAGATTCCTGTAAGTCACTAGAGCCAGAGTGCCCTGCAATAGCCATAACACTGATATCTTGCTGCTGTTCACAATTCACAGATGCAAAATCAGAGGTTTTGGTGATATGGTGCCACGTATTTGGGTTAAAGCTGCCATCAGATTTTGAATCATTTTCTATGACAAACATGTTTCCTTCCAATTTTACTTTTATATCTGGAGATGATGCTGATGCAAGCTGCTGTCCTAAAGTAGAATCACTGGTATTTAAATTGGTGCTCAAAGAGAGGTCTGTTGCTAAGTTTGCTGCAGCTGCAGAAGGTACAGGTACCTTCACAGGTACCTTGCTGGGAACTTGAGCAAGTGTTGCTGTATTGTCACTGTTAGCTAACGATCCAACCTTTGGAGACTTCTTAACACTGTTTGCTTTTTGACCCTCCACAGCATTACCAGCTGAAAGCTGCTCCACCAGTGGTTTCTTTACAGGTGGTACCTGGGAATCCTGAAGTGTAGAAGGTTGTCGCTTTCTTGGACTTTTAGTGCATGTTTTATCTTTAGACTCACCGGTAGGAGGTGAACCGATGCTGGTGCTGGACAAGTTTGGACTGGCAACTGAGAGCTTTAGAGTGCTTTGACTATTGCCTGCTGAAGAAACTGGTGTGATCTCGTTAGACTGTGTTTTGTATTTGGTCCCTGCTTCTTCAGCTCCCTGATCACAGCCCTTAACTGGTTTTGCCTCTACAACATCATCAGCTGAAACCTTCAAGGTTGTAACCTCAAAATTAATTAGTTGAGCAGGAGGCAGGTCAGGGGTTGCCTTTATGGATTTTGACACATCAGAGCTCTCTTGGCCCTGTACTGAATTCTCATCCAGTAATGCTTCTGGTTCCATTTTGACCTTGACGGCAGGCGCAGCTACAACTGTGCTAGGCTTGGATCCTGGAGACTGAAGTGAAACAACAGATCCGTTTTTGATCTGTGGACCAGTCCTCCCTTCTTCCACTGCTCCTGCACTACTGCTCACTGAAGGCGTCTGTTTGACGGGCACACTACTGCTGCTTGGGGCAAGAGATATTGCTGTCATTTTTACCACATTTAAGGAATTCACATGTGGAGCTGGCACAACAGTCTTGATTGGGCTACTGGTAAAGAGCACCGTCGTGGGAGAGCGGATGGTGAGAGCACTGGTATTTGCAGGCTTCGGTAAGATCTGTGGATAGCGATGCCGGGCAGAGCGGTCACCAACTGGGCTGGCAGGAACATTCTGGGGAGTCTTTGGTGACTGCTTGACTGATTGCATGTGCTGAGTGACCACCTGAACATTGAGCGGCAGGACCTTGCTATCAGACGATCCCATAGGACTTGGAGATGTCACCAACTGCCTGGTCCTTGGCACCTGTAGAGAGAGAAAAAGAAAAGGTGTGGCGATGAAGCAAGAAAGTCCCCAACACCCACAGACCACCTCATCTCCAAGCATTTCAAATGCAAAGGACAACACAGCTCAATACACCAAGCTAGTGAATCAGTTTGAAACAAAAGAAGCTCTTCAACTCTATACAAGACAATTTCTATTTGTCTGCCTAAGGATTGGTAATACAAATATGTGGCCTCAATCTTTAAGGCATGAGGCACTGGTCTACACACTAGTCTACTCTGCCGCTAATGAAAGGGTCATTCTCATACAATCCTTCACCACATGGAACAAAGACAGACATAGAAAGGTTAAAGAGGAGAGGGATGTGTTCAAAACACTGCTCACTGTTACGGTTTCAAAAGCAAGTTAAATACAAACCCACTATCAGGCAGAAAGATTGGCTTACCTATTACTGACAACACAGTTAACATCTTAAAAACAAATAATACCCCCACCCCACCCCGTTTTGTATGGCTGAAAGACAAAGATGTTCCATACTACAGACATTCATACAAAAATAAAATTGTTGCTGACACTAAATGCGCCAGGACAATGAAAGGCAACTGAAATTCCATATTAAGGTCTCGGCAACTCACACAACTGGTGTCAGCCCTCTTGTCTAGTTAAACTTCATCTCAAGGGCAATTATTCCCACATAAAACCTTAATTATTGCTAGCTGAAATCCCACTGTCAACAACTTCAAAGACAAACTTGGCCTATGTTGTGTGATCAGAATTCTGCTGCCTCTGTATCGATCCCATAACTCATGTGGTATCACACAGTCAATGGGACAGAAAAGCATCAAGGGACCCAAGCCTTTGAATGGAAAACATTTTTCCATCCGAGTGATACCACTGCTTAGTTACTGGCAATTTATAACTTCCATAAGGTGGTTTCTCTAGAGAATTGCTGGAGAACATTACCGGTATCGGGCTGGGGACAGCTGCCACAACAATGCCAATAGGCGGAGGAGACAGAATTGCAGGACTTCCATTAGATATACTGGTCACGCCATTGCTTGTGGTGCCTTCCGTTTTCTTTGCTGGAGACTCTCCTGGCAAAGGAGACTGCAGTTTCTGTTCTTGCTGCTTCTTCTGGATCTTACGCTGCAGCTGCTGCTTGGCATCAACAGGAGATGGCAGAGTTTTCACTTGCGGTTGAAAGGAATTACTTTCAGCAGTAGGTATAAAAGCTGAGGGCTGGGGGATCCCTTTTATTCCTGAATACAAAAGAAGAAGAATGAATTATAACCACACATACCCTGTCTGTATCTAACCACACAGAACACACGGCAGGCATCTCTACAACCATTCTGGGAACACCTCCTCCATGAGGTGCTCCCATCCACTTCATGCTCAAATCTATTCAGTGTTTCAGTTTATTTCCACATTTGTGGCAAAACCCCTATCTGTTAGTATTTTAGCAGCTAATGCCCAGCTTGTCTATGTCCTGGCGTCTTGTTTCTAGTAATCCCAAACTGCAACTTTTGTGTCAGCAAAATCTAAAAAAACAATGCATTTCATTTAACTGACAGTAGAGGGCAGCGGATATGTTTTAGAGGAACCTTTAAAATCCATCATCTACTGTGTTTTTGTTTTGTCATCAATGTCTAAGGCAGCTTTAAAAATGAAAAATGATATAATATCAGAATGTATGACAACCTGCGTGTGATCAGGGATAATGGTGAAAGAAGGACAAGAAGAGAAGTGTTCACAGAAAAAGGAAAAAAAGAAGGAAAAAGTAAAAAAACTATGGAAATTAGAATGGGAGAACGTTTTTTCTGGAGACAATGCCTTTGCTGATCACAAGCAAGTGGTGCTTCCAGGGAGAACAACAAGGAGTTAGTCTCATCTGCGCAGCTGGTACCAATTTCGCTCACAAAAATCACATCACATTTATGATCTTTTGTTTATTAACAGTCAAGAGGATTAGCATGCTCTCTCAGTGACCAACTAACCCTGTGGAACTGCCCCTCTAAAAATGCTTTAACACCATTTCATTTACACTTCGCAGGTTTCAGAGCTTTTAAAATAACTCTTAATTATAAATTAATCACCACCATTTTAGGGCAAGTATTTGGTTTTAGATACCCAATACATGCTTAGGAACTGTGGTCTGGGAGCCCACCCTCTCCGCAGCAGTCTGCGAGTACCATGAGAGCTTGAACACCGCAACGTGTCTCCACTTTCACAATTCCTTCTTCACAGAGCAGTGAAATGCCCAAATATATTGCAATTACTGGAAAACAAGTCATCTATGTGGCCTGAATACTGAAGGCAAGTAACATTTATGAGAAAAAACCAAATTTTTCTTTGAGGGTAAAAGTTTGATTTTTCCTCATTTAATGCACAGAGACACTGTAGTTCCTTGTGATAAAGAGGAATGGGAATGTTTTATTTGCCATTCTAGAAAGAACCTCTCCTGAAATGACTATCCAAGCCAGAGAGGCATGCACTGGAAATAACTGCCCTTTTTCTTGAGGGAAACCATCTCCTCCTGAAGGAAGGGGGAAAAGCTACATGAGTTGAAGAACTGCACATATACCTAGCATTCCTTCTAGCAGCACAGCAAGCCGAACTAATGAAGTCAAGCAATGACGGGTAAAAAAGGAGCATACAGGCAGCAAAACCCACCACTGCCACCCATCAGTTCCAAGCTGCAATAAAGGAAAGAGCTGGAAGGAGAAAGAACATGGTCCAGAAGGGGATTGCCCCAACCTACAGCCCTGACCACCAGTTTCCATTTGAAACCGTCTGTCTCGAGTCAAGAGATTTGCCTTGATCCAAACACATTTTGCTTGACAGGCCTGGGCAGAACTTCCCAGGGGGAAGTCTAGGAGGCATGTTGGGCACCTGCACTTCCCTCCTTATCCTTCATTTTTGTAATTTACTTCATCCACAGCCACAAAAAAAACACTTCAAATGATTAAGTGACTGATTTTGAGCATGAAGAGGGAAACAACACAAAAAGCAGACGTACAACCAACCACATCAAACGTAAGCTTTCCCACAGATGGAGCAGAACAGGAATTCATCTGATGAAGCAAAATACAAAATAACTCTTCTCTTTACCTCGATCCTTAACGAAGGATCCATGCTGGAATCTCAGTCACACAACTGCCCCTGGAGAAGGTTCTGCTGTCCCTCAAGCCCTTATTTCTAGTGTGATCAATAACAACAGCAGCTGACGTGCTTGTGCTACCTGACACTGATCAAACATCTCAGGAAAATTTGCATCTGACATCAGAAATGCCCGTAAGAAAATCTGCTCTTGAGAGAACATTAAGACAGACAATTGTTTCCAAATTAGGGCAAGTTCTCAGACAGAAACACAGGTACACCAGCAGTCTGTCTACAAACCAGCACTGTACCGGCACCAGACTCCTGATCTAGCAAAGCACATAAATCCAGTGCAATTACTCACATGCCCTGAAGTGCTTTAAGAGACCAGGGTCCTCATCAGAGGAATGGGAGAATCCCAAACTAAACCTGAGACCACTGCTTATTTTCAGATTTCTTCACCCAGACTACCAGTAAGAAAAGTACTTTGCAGCAATGTGGACTAAAATCACATAAATGCATGCTCAACGCTCACAGTCAGTGTTTAAAGTTTGCCCTGAAGTGCTTCCTCAAACCAAGATGTTATTACTGTTTAAATAAAAGATCCCCCATTTTATCCATTCAGCATTAAGTTATCTCATTACCTGCTGGTGCCCCTGCCATTACTGTTAAAGCTGCCATTGACTTGGTACCGATATAGTGACTTTTTACAAGGAAACGAGCCAATTCCAAGACTGTATCAAAAGGCTGACTCAGCACTTTCTGGGCCCATTCACAAACAAGCCGGCAGGCCGCAGAGACAACTTCCTCATCAGCACTTTGCAGCTGCCCAGACGGCTCTGCCCCATCCAACTAAAACAAACAAACAAAGAACGAAAGGTTACTTTAATTATTAAGGGTCATTAAGGCAGGAAAACAAAAGTAGAGAGCAAACCATGATCAAAAACACACAAAAAGTTGAGTAAGTATGTTCAGTTTTTCATGAAATTGGGAGAATGAGATCACATCATCAGCATCATTCAAAATGAAATGTCTTAACATTCGTCTACTGGTTGTTTCCAAAGGCATTATATGGAGCTGACATTTCTGGAAGAAAATCACAGAGAGAATCCTAATATCTGGACCACCACCAACTGACGCTCCCTGCATCCAGAGCCTTGTCAACTCAAGCGGCCATTGTTACCCAGGAACTGCTTCTTTCACTGGGGTTCTTTTTCCCTAGCATTGACCTGTTTTTTTAAAAAAATATACTGTAAAACCAAAACAGAATCAGAGTTAAAAAGATATGGAGTTAAATCAGAGTTAAAAAGCTTGTGGGTGGCAACACTGTGAAAGTCTGCTTCACCTCCTAAATTAGTTTCTTTAATAGCACTGCAATTCATTCTGAGCTTTACAGAAAAACATGAAACAATGATTCAGAATATAATTATCATAAAGAAAAAAAAATCTTTAAAACTACACAGCTCTTCACTTTGTTTTGAAAACTTGAGACAGAAAAACAACATAATAGATGTTCATTTGCAGGAATATATATAAATAAGCAAGTATATATCATACCCCATCTCCAGTTTTATGGAAGTCAAGGTTGGGCAGTGTTGGCATATGCACAAAAGCCTTCTTCCTCAGTCCACTGTAGCAATATGTGAACAAGAATTAAGGTCTAAATTGTCTCTGCTTGTTAGTTGGGGGATAGGAGGGAAGGGCAGTAATTCCTCCGATACCCCTCATAAGCTTTAGAAGCAAACTCAACAACAGATCTAAGAATTACTGTCATTAACACAGTCTCACAGCCAGCCAGAATCAAGAGCCTATGAACGGCTGTGTTCTTGGGCAGGTTGTTGGGCTTCTCCATCTATGCAGAGGAGCAAGCGATGATGGGCATGATGAATTTCATTTGATGACTTAGAAGAACCATTAAACCATGCCAAGTAGTTTCAATTAGCTACTCAATATTTAAATAATTAACATAAATTTGGACTAAAGTCCTTTCCTAAACCAGGCCTAAAATGACATGGAGAATGCATTTTCCAAAGTTAATCACTATTAAAAAATGTGTTCCTGAATTTTGGCTTTACTTTGAGTTGTTCTTTTTTGCCTTTTTTTTGCTAAATTTCCTGACACTTCCTTCTCCTAAGGGACTTTCACAAACTGAAGAAGTTCCCCATGACAAGGTAAAGTGACTGATGAGGACATTTCTTCCTAAGGTTTCACACAATTTTTGTGGCTCTTCCCCCACCCAGGTAATTCTTCTTCTGTAAAAATATGGAGACAAATACCCAGATTTGTTCTTACATTGATCTCATCAAATCAGCACACAAAAAATATACTCCCTCCATTACTCTTACTCACTTGTTCATAGGTCTAAATCAAATCAGCCTTTTTTCCTCTCCACAGCATTACTCTGGGAGTTCACATATAGTGTCTCTTCTCTGCGACACACAAATCCTTTTCAGGATCACTAATTTTTCACATTCTGTAAATATGTCTGTATTTCTCTTTCCTAGACCATGGAGTTTGCATTTACTTGCATTAACCTGGATGGAGCATAATTACAGTAAAATAAATGTAAGGAGGCTAGGTATTAAGGTAAGTTGAGATAAGGTGGCATTTTAATCATTCTGAATTAGAAACTTAGGAAACGGAACTGAAAGAGATCCCCTGGGTCAAGCTACAACTACATTGTATGATTTCTTCCTTAAAACTTCGCTAGCTCTATCCAGAACATCACTACTAAGTTTTGGACTCCACTGCTAGATAATCCAACACTGTATTTTATGGAACAACTTAACTGACACACAACTTCTCCATGTATGGAAGACAAATAATTCTGGGCTGCCCGCTAGCATTTAATTCCCTCTGTAAGTGCATGCTTCAAGTGAGACCCTGGCAAAGGCCCATATTACAGCAAGTCCCTATCATTACTGATAGTTCTTTTTGGTGGTTTTTAATTAGAACCTACAAGCACCTTGATGGTTTTTGGCCTTTTAATGCTCTCCCTCCCTTGCCTGCCACAGTGGCTTAGCCTACCCAGCACGTCAGAATGGAGCAAGAGTTGACCCTGGGGGATGCAGCAGGTATTATATTAATTCATGATGGTTTCTAAGGATTCTCAAGGGAAGGTGTAATTCTCAACTTGGAAAAGACAAAATTCTTGCTGATGAAAAAACTACTTACTTTGAAAATCGCTAACAGAGTTTGGTTTTTTGATTTTTTTTTTTTTTTAATGGAACACTTCGGTGTGCTAAAGACTATAGACAAACTACAGCTCAGTCTCAGAAAAGCATGAGAAAAATTCACATCCTTATAGCCTTTAGACTTGATTATCGCATTTCTTTCCTAGCAGAGCTTCTTGCCCCTACACTGAAGCAGCAGAACCACCAGTGGTATGAGCATACTCTTTTGCACAGCATTTGCCCCAAATTCTTCATGGTGGCTGCCCGTTAATTGATACACTAATCTGTTCCAAGATCTAACTGTTTATAGTTCTGCCTGTAACAATTATGTCTAGTTACACTATGACAACATCAGCTTTTTAACTAGTTTAAGGTTTGTATTAAGTTACAATTAAATGGGGTAGTGTATTTGCATGCCCTCTGGGGTGGACTATTTCTCCAACACAGGAAAGGAGGGAAGGAAGCGGATTCCAACTTTGGGCACGGGCGAGACAGCGCTCCCCATCTGAGAAGCTCTCGCTCTGAATTGTCTTTCCTGTCTCAGGGGGTCTGTACCATGCAGTGAAGGAAGCTGTCTCCTGTCTCTGACAGCAGGACAAGCCTCGGATCATGCCTTCCAAGTCTGAAGTCAGCTTTTGTGACTACTTCCCAGTTCCCTCTTCTCTTTCAAGCAACACTAACAGTTGAGGAGAGGCAGTTTTATGAAGTATCTGTAGCACAGCTTAAGAAGGATCTTTGGCTTTACAACTAACGTTTAAATTACCAGTGTGCACAAGTATAATATAAAAGCAAGAAATGTTCTGGTCATTCTGAGCTGTAGTACCAATAAAATATCAGTTACTGCACCTATATAAGGCAAGTTCCTTTATTCCAATATCTCCTTTTGCACTAAGTGATTAAGCTTCTTTGATTCCTTGCTGCTCTGACAACTAAGTGTCAGTACCTAAATTTAAGTACTTGTTTCTGAAGTTGTATCTTGCAACCTAACACTACCACAATTACTAATTTTTAAAGAACGTTGGGAAAGTGTCTGCATTTTGTATTTAACATTACTTCTACATTTAGCTGGCAGTTAAGCCATAATGACAGATGTTCTCCAGGCAAGTGCAGAAGAAGTTACTGAGAAGCGTTCTAGCAAAGGATATTTTGATTTGCCTCTTGTGCCTAGACGACGGGCCTTCATATTTGGAAAGACATTTTTCATGATCTTTCCAAAGTCAGCAGCACTTAATGGGTGGTAGCCAAGATTGTCACAATAGCTCCTGCAACAAAGAGAAAGAAAGCGTGAATGGATTCAAAGTTAATACAAGAGGCCAGCCTGCATGCTAGACTCCATCAAAGGTTTTCACAAGAAAACACACCCATCCATATTTAGAACCACATTCAACATTAATGAAGCTATCCACAATGAATTGAATGCATTAAAAATTTATAAATAGAGCTATTAATACCATAGTTTTTGCCTTGTTCTCTATTGAGTTCAAAGACAAGTCATGGGGAGACATAACAAGTAGTGGCATTATCTAGAGCACAGTTAAGATTTACTCCACAACTTAGTTTGAAGCATATGTTTCAATTCACTTAATTTAGGACATAAGAAAAGCAGAGACATTGTTCTATCCAGAAGAATAGCTTGAGTGTGGTAAAGCCCGAAATCCTGCAGGAATGTTTGAAAAGCAGTAGGCAAGAGATTTGTCAGCATCCAGAGAAAGATTCTGCCTACCCAATCTCCGTTTGTGAACGCACACAGCCTCCCAGGGAACCAGCTTCACCTTTATAGGTGTAATGTAAATACGTACTGAGGACCTAGTCCTCTTACCACTATACCACTACTGAACTATGAGAGCTGCTTAATTATAGACATCCTTATATTCATTAGCAGTCCTAAATTAGCAGAGATGTCAACTGCCTCTGCAAATGTAGATCTTCGTATGACTGAGTATATAACCTGATATACCTGAGTGTACAACCTGAGTATACAACCTGATGATATAGGGGAATATAACAACAAAAGGTAATTATTTTGCTAAGTTTACTTACTCTAGTAAAATGGACAGTTATCTGTCTTCAGTTCTCAAAAACAGCAGAAGGAGTTTTGTTTCAACATCTATTCAGATGTTTCAACATCTGAGATATTTAAAAAATGTCTCCTTGAGGCAGAGAACAAGAATCTTTGATTTCGCTGCAACATGTGAATGTTCTGGAAAATCACAAACGTGAAAGCAGAGGAAAAAACTGGGAACTCTGGAAAGTTTACCAGAGAAAACTTTAAACAGAGAAAACTCTGGAAGGTTTACCTGTACAGCAAGTGCTTAAGGCTGCATGAAAGATATGAATGCCATATTGCCTTTTGTTCAAAAGTCTTGTGGTATTTCACAGACATTAATTGCTAAGGCCCAAAACATACCGTTAAAGCATCCTCATTCAGATTTCCTACAGTCACAGAGTCAGCACAAGCTAGCAATAACCTCTTTTCCCCATGAGAAGTCCTACCGGCAATACACAAAAACAACCTGCCTCTGAAAAGAAGAGGTGACTGCAGATGGTCCTGTGTGGGCATCAACAGAACAGAAAAACAATAACTTCATACACCGTGTTGCCTGCTACTCTGATCAGGTACATACATACAAACAAATCTCTGCTCATAAAGGAAGACCCAAAGAAAGAAAGGAAGAAAGAAAAAGCAGCACTCCCGAAACAGATGTTTCATTCTCAGCATCACCTAGTAAAAACAATAACAGTTAGCAATGGCATTTGCATCCAAGTAGGCCAGTCAAAATGTCTTCTCTGAAAACTGTAGCTCTATAGAAAAGCAGCATATATTTCTTGAGATAATTCCACTGCATTTATTTTCTCAGTAAAAATACTAGTTATGAAGAGGAAGTATCTGCTGCTTTCACCTTGGCTGTACGTAGGTATCCTCTACTTGGAAAGCACCGCACCAAATGTCATTATTTTGATGATGATAAACAGGCAGTTTTATGCTATTTGGTTCTGACATTTCCCTGCAGAGTTTGTGTGCACCCACTTCCCCCAGCTGCCGGGCCACTCTGTCCAAACCAGGAGATGTTGCCTGGTATACAGTCAGCCATTAGTCTAGTTTCTGTATGGGATATCAAGAAGGTTTTTATCCAATAAATACCAACATACTTCATTTCAATGCATGTCAGTCACAGAATCTGGATTCTGGGTATGTCCCTTTGAAGTTAATACAAAGGAATACTGCCTCACTGCACCCTCTTAGGAATCAGACATTGCTTTACGTGGAATAGATAGATCTCTGTGAGCCTTTTTTTAACCCTTGCATCTTGTCAGGCTCCAATGGATTTTAACCCTACTCTGAAAATTCATAAAAGGTGGGTCTTTATCACTTACTAATGCTGATTACAGGACTTTAAGTCTCACCTAACCTAGCATGCAAAGGAGGGCTCTCTGAATTTCTCTGCCACAGTCAGCAGTATCTTTGACTGAAACTCAACAATGTTAGCAAAACAAAATTAAAAAAAAAAACCAACCCAGCAAAACAACAGGATTAGGGACCTACCAATCAACCAACTTTAAACTTAAAATTATTCCCACTCTAGGAGAAAATAAACAAACAGAAAAGGGGGAAAAAATCAGTCTAGCACATCAAAGGCAACCCTGCAACAACAATTACTTGCTAGCAGCAAAACATACAGTTACATGGTCCCCTCGTATCTATACTGGCACCTCCTGCAAGCTTCTGATTTCTGAGCTATTATTATTATCATATAATTTCAGTTTTCAGACAGATCATCCCACATGGCCCCTCCTCCTCCTGGCTCGGCTGAGAACCCTCCATGTCCATCTGTGGTCTCTCATTGACTTGACAACACATACCAGGAGTCTCTTCCCTGAAGCTCTTCTCTCTGCTACTTGCACTCTTGGCACATCGCTGAGCCCAGGAGCTGTTTTGATTATTTGAAGGGTGAGTGGGAAACAGATGGGGGGAGGGAAGGTCTACGCAGAGACAGGAATGACAATGGACACACGGTTGCTTATGTTCCTTTGAACAGAGCTTCCCTACATGATAAGGAAAAAATGCCCCCCCACCCTTTTTTTTTTGGTAAGACCTTTGAATTAAATGTACTCAAGACATAAGATACACTAGGAGCGCACCTGAATTAAACCACAAAAAAGACTAATCAAAAAGCCAATGAAAACAGTCAGGCTATGCAGCCCAGCTTACATAGCTTCCTGGGCAGAAAAACCATTATGAATAGCAAACAACAAAGAATTGTTTAGCCTAGAGAAGAGGAGGCTGAGGGGAGACCTTACCGCTCTCTACGACTACCTGAAAGGAGGCTGTAGTGAGGTGGGTGTTGGTCTCTTCTACCAAGTAGTTAGCGATAGTACAAGAGGAAATGGCCTCAAGCTGCGCCAGGGGAGGTTTAGGTTGGATATTAGGAAAAATTTCTTCATGGAAAGGGTAGTCAAGCATTGGAACAGGCTGCCCAGAGAGGTGGTGGAGTCACCATCCCTGGAAGCGTTCAAAAAACAGGTAGACATGGCACTTTGGGGCATGGTTTAGTCTAGTCTACCCTTAATTGGTTTAGTGTGGACTTGGTAATGTTAGGTTAATGGTTGGACTGGATGATCTTAGAGGTCTTTTCCAACCTAAACAATTCTATGATTCTGTGAAATGGCCTCAAGCTGCGCCAGGGGAAGTTTAGACTGGATTTTAGGAAAAATTTCTTCATGGAAAGGGTAGTCTAGCATTGGAACAGGCTGCCCAGAGAGGTGGTGGAGTCACCATCCCTGGAAGTGTTCAAAAAACAGGTAGATGTGGCACTCTGGGACATGGTTTAGTAGGCATGGTGGTGTTGGGTTGATGGTTGGACTGATGATCTTAGAGATCCTTTCCAACCTTAATGATTCCTAGTTTTTACTTTCATTAAAAAATAATCCAGCTACCAAGCCAGGAAACATGAAATTACTACTCTACCCTTAATTGGTTTAGTGGTGGACTTGGTAGTGTTAGGTTAATGGTTGGACTGGATGATCTTAAAGGTCTTTTCCAACCTAAATGATTCTATGATATGACACAAAGATCTTGGCTTATCCAATCCAGCAAAACAACTGGTGTCTAAAAATGGGTTAGAGCAAAGAACCTTAGGAAGAGGTAGGCTCTCATTAAGCTGATGAGCAATGCTGGCACAGAAACGAGTCCTAAAAATCAGGTAGGATGGAAATCACATGTCTGAAAACCATCAGAGAAATGAAATTGCAGGTCAAACTCCCAAGAGCAGCAGCAGAGGTGGGAAACAACTGCTTTAGATGGAGTTTGATTGGCTTTTAAAAGGAATATGTAGGTAGTTGCTTATGACAGAAGACTGGACCTTACAACACAATAGGTCCCATCCTGTTCCAATCAGGAAGTTTCATACAAAAACACCGGTTAAGTGCCATCAAATAAGATTAGTATGCATCTTGTGTCTTTTATTTAAGAGACATGGTATTCCTATACCTACTGCCCTCTTCTGTGCTAGCTTCTGAATGTTCTTCTTTTAACTTGCTGGTTAATGTCCTTAACCGCACACATAATCTATGCGTCAGGTGGCATCAAGTGGCACAGCAGCCAGTAAAGCAAGGATTAATGATTTACAGACTAAAGGAAAGAGATACGGGCTGACTCAAAGACCTCCTAATCTATATTAAGCATATCAAGTGAATCTTCAGGGCACCAAACTTAAATATGAATGAATGACTTTCCTTGCGTCAGTGTACCAGAAGCAAGATAAGAGGACCCAAGCATTTACTGAAGGCTCAACAAATCATTTTGTGGGCAAATAGGGATTTTATCTGCATAAGTACTGCAAGACTGCACTTAGGCTAGAAATCCTAATTCTCTAAACTCAGCTAAATCTACACCTAGCTGCCTCCAGGAGGGTGTTTACTAATAGGGAGAAGATGCCGGTGTAAAACTGACTTACAAGAAAACTTTGAAAGGATTTGATGGAAAGCAGCATCTATTCTCTGCAGGCTAGATAACACGTTAGGCAGCTCCCCATGAGTTCCCGTATTTTCCAGAATCTATTCCCCCATAAATCCCAGAGGAAGCTGGCAGAAGAACAGTGTGTGCTCAACAGAAATACAGCTTCTTACAGCCCAATGTATTCTGTCAGTGCAAGCAGCATGACAGCATCAACAAGAGAGGTGAACTAGCTCGCATCTACCTCCTTTCTGAAACTCAGCTGCAAGCTCTCAACCTTCCCAAGTGCTACTGCCTTATATTATGATGCATTTTTCATTTATTGTATCCCTTTCAAAAGGGTGATGAATCCATTCACCTTTATCCAGTTAGAGACGTGAATTCACAATTAAATAGAAGAGCAAGAAAACAGAAAGAAGAGTCACTGTGTTGAGTAAGCTCAGCAAGAAAAGGCTACTGAAATGTGGAGGAGCTGGAAACACTATCAACACTTGCCAATGGTGGACTTGGGTGGAATGCAAGCTTCTGTCTTTCCCTCTTTATAGGGGGGAAAACAAACAAACAGAACCAACACATGCAAGGTGATGCAGAAGCCCAGTGGTTGTGGAAGACTTATTTTGACCAAAATTTACA